GTAGCCTCCAAGCAGTTACAATGCCAATCTGTGATCTGCCACTGAAAGAAAATAGTTATGATCACTGGCCCAAACTGGCAGCGTTTTAAACTTAATATTAACACTATAAATGCAGAAACCTATAAACTTATTTTGAGATAAGAATGTTAGATATAAGAATGTTATAGCTCGCAATACTTCAGCATTTGGCCTTTAATCAGATTAATGAGAACGGTGTACTCTGTTGCAGTATGATGGATATACTTCCTGCCCACTAGTAACAAGCTATAACAAGGTGATTCTAGCAGAATTTGACTACAATGCTCAGCCTTTGGAGACCTTTCCCATTGACCAAAGTAAACAGAGGACAACAATGTACCATATGAAAGCTGATATGATGCCCTTTCTCTATTGGAATGCGTTACTCAAGTAAGTATTTTAAGTCAGGGCAGGCATGGCTGCTGTGATTTTTTTTTTTTTTTTTTCAAGGCAAAGCCAGGTATCTGTTCTGGCTTACAATTCTTCAAAAGAACAGGTGTTGAACTTATCCTGCAAATCTAGCAACTGAAGTGTGTGCTTAGTCATCATTATGTACTCAACTTGTTGAGTGTTCTGGGTACTTTGCTGCTGATAGGATTTTGTGCTAGAATATTTAATATATGAATAGAATATATCTTAGTAAATAGAAGTATCATATGAGAGTAAAAAAAAAAATCCTTCTTCACACAGATAATGCATGCAGATAAATGTCTTTGACTTGATGAAACAACTCTTCTTTTCCAGGGGATACTGGGGAGGACCAGCTCCTATCAGAAAGCTGATGCATCTAGGCTTGAAGTAAATGTTGGTTCTCAGCTCAAGCTCTTGAAATAAGACTGGCCTCGTGCTGGATGAGTACGTATACTTCCTTTTGGACACCTCCACAGTAGACAGACTTTTTTAATCAAGTTTTTGTCATGAACTTTAACTTTCTGCCTCCTAGGGATTAAGCCTTACTACTTTCTTCCATGTGATCTGAGGCCTTAAATTAATTCTGTATGTAGATAGCAGTTTCAACTCAAGCGTGAGCTTCCTTCAGCTGCAAGCCACTACTGAAACTTCCTACAGTAATCAATGCCCTTAAATCAGTTTTGTATGTAAGAGATTTTCTGTGACTGTAGCTCAAATTCCTTGCTTCCATTATCTAAACGTACACTTAATAAAATAATGCTAGTAAAACATTCTGACCAGCTCTTGTTCTGATTTTTGAAATGCATACTCCATCTTAATTTCTTCACAAAGAAGCATACTTCCTGCCAAACTCCAGAAGGGTTATAGAAATCAGAGCACGTTAGTAAAGGGAAATAGCTGGCAGCTTTCCCATTGCTATTAACATCAGCTGAAGCCCCAACACTTTCTGTCAGACATGACTTGAAAGCAGTTGTGTTATTCAGCTTTTCTCACACTTGTATTTTTCGTAAAAGCCTCATGTATTTTCTAAGTGAAAAGCTTTGTGTTTGATGTATAGTGAACAATGATGTAGTGGAGGCGTATTAGCAGAGCTGTGCCACCTAACATCAGTTCTGTTATGTGCTTTACTATTATAATTTAAGTACATGCAAATAGATTTACAGAAGACTAGATGGTGATGACTTAAAGCACATGAGGCCAGCTACTAGGCTCAAGCACAAATTAAGATGACAGCTGAGGGGGAAATGCTTTTTAATGACCATATGTAACTCAGTTTCAGGAGAAAACTCAATGAAGCCAAATTCAGGAGTTGAGTCTTCACAGAAGCTGGAACTTCAGTGGCAGTCAGGTAGACAGCACAGAGCAAACAGGAGTCATCTTCAGTCACAAGAATCAGTAGAAGCTTATTTCTAAACAAAAAAAACATGAATACATTTCAAGTTCCAGCTTCATGCTTTTTCAACATAGCCTTTAACAGGTTTGCTCTGGAGTTCCATTTAGAAGCATGAAGACATACCTGCACGTTAAGTAATTCTTCAATCTTATTTTGGATCTGTCCATATACCTCATTAAACAGTTCTTCCTTGGATTTTGTTCCATTCAAGTGCACTTAAAATAAGAATGTAAAATGAGAGCTATAATAGAATTATGCTTCTCTAACCCTGTCAGATTCTAATTTGAAGAGCATGCATTTGCCTTACTGGAAAAAACATACTCCATCTAACAGTTTCATATATATATATATATATATATATACACATACATATATATATACGTATATATATGTATATATATATACGTATATATATATGTATGTGTATATATGTATGTATATATATGTATGTATGTATGTATATATAGACTTAAAAAGCTTTTTCTTTAACAGCCTTACAGCCTTATAAAAGTGCTTATAAAAGTGCTTCAGTTATTAAAGACTTACCCACGTCAACACCAAGATCTTCCATTATCTTCCTGTGCTTTACATACATAGGCCAAACGTGGCCATCAAACAATCCAGGTGGATCAGGTACAGTGTAATTTCTTGAACTATAAATTAATACAGTGTTATTCAAGGGTAGTCTAATTAAAGTTCAGGCAAATTATGTAATGTACACTCAGTTTTTCTACACCTTATCTTGAATGTATTTCATTCAGTGTAGTTTTAACCTTATCAACAGTGCTACCACCAGCATGCAGAGGTGCTAAAGAAGTTGAAATGTGATTGTTTGAAGTGTGCAAGTGATTCCTAAATGACTGATGGTGGTATTCATGAGTAGTCTTCTGCTGCAAGTTTAGGAGAAGTTTGGGTGAAATAGTTGTCTGTCCACAATAGCCTGATTAAAAACCTGTAGGGTTTGGTTGCTGGAAAGAACTCTGTTTTTTCAACATAGTAACTAGGTTAATATTTAGCCTATCAAAGGGAAAAAAAAGCTTTAAGGAGAAACCAAGTCTTGAGCTGCTGAAGATGTTACTGGGCTAACAGAGGAATTTACAAAGAAACTCACCTTCTTCTCCTTTTACACTCCTCATATGGAATGGAAAGAAAGTACCGATGGTGGAATACATCAATCAGGGGCCTGAAAGAGATGTGTGCTGGGTTACAGCTTGCCTGTACCAAGGAACAGAAACGGAAATCTATGCCTGTCTCTTCTGGCTGGTGCATGCTTCAGGCCTGTGACAGCTGAACTCACATCAGTCAATACTGGCACCGTTAGCATTATGTAAGGTCAAAACACATGAAGTTGTACTGCACGTACCTGTAGGTGTAAAGCAGGAAGCCCTCGATAATAAGGATGTGGATTGCTTCATCTCCTCCCTCCCTGTCTGGTGAGATCTGGGCATCCAGCGTGTTGTTGATCCCATGGGAGCGTTCAAACTTGACTGGGTTCTTTATCCAAGCATTTATGGTACTCATCATCGCCTCCATATCTAACGCACTGATCACTGAGACAGAACACTATCGTTAGCCAGTAACTGAGCACCAGCTGGTATCAGCACCAGGAAGGATCAAAGTATTATGCTGGAGTTACACTGTTCAATAATGCTGGAGAGAGACCTTACCATCATACTGCTTAAAGCCATCTTCAACTTCTATTTCATCTTGAGGCTGAAACAGCAATAAGAAAAAACCGTTTGGTCGGGGCAGCTGCCGGGAGCGGCGCCATCACAAAGCAGAAACGCAGAGCGGAATTTGGAGGGCGCCCCAGCCCCGCAGCGGTCTCTGCGCGCAGATAACGGGCGCCGGGAACGAGGAACGATAACGCAGCCGCTGTTCTGACCGCCCAGCCGGCCGCGAACACGCTCACCTTGAAGAAGTCGTCCTGGTGCACCACGCTGCAGTTGGGCAGGGCCTGCGTCAGCCTGCGGGTGAGGGTGGTCTTGCCCCCGTTGGTGACCCTGGGAGGGAGCGCGGGCCGTCACCGCCGGGCCGGGGCGGCGCCCCTCGGGCCACGTGCGCGCGGCCGCCCGCAGAACCAGGCGGCGCCTTCCAACCCCCCCCCCGCGCCGCACCCCGCGCACTGCGGCACGAGGGAGCGCCCGTCCGCCGCGCTCACCCGCCGATGCCGATGATGACGTTCATGGCGCGGCCAACAGCCGCCCGGCCCGACTCCTACAGCCTGTTCCGGGGGAGGAAGGGGTAGGAAGGGAGGACAGGACGGGGGATTCGGGGTCGCCGGTAGCGGCCGCCTACGTGCCTGAGCCGGGACCCGGGGAGAAGAGGGGTGGGAGAGAGAGAGAGGAGATGAAAGGGGAGAAGCCCAACGTCAACTGCTGGGCAGCGCCATGGCCGGAGGAGCAGGGAGCAGCAGGGCCGGTGCGCGCCGCGCCGGAGCGCTCCGCAAAGGGAGGCCGGCACCCGCTGCATGGGGCTTCCCTGCGCTGCTGCGCGCCTATTGGGCGGCCGCCGCTCCGCCGCGACCAATGGTGAGCTAGCGACGCCGTGCGCCTGGCGCTCATTGGGTAGGCCGAGCTCGCCTCGCGCCCGATAGGGCCGCAGCGCGGCCGCTGGGTGGCGCTTATTGGCTGTAGAGCCGAGGGTGGGTGTTGCCCCAGCGGCGGCGCTACAGCGCCCGGGAGGCGGCGGGGGGGGGGGGTGCAGGCCGCGCGGCGGCGCGCGGAGGCGCAGTGTTGTGGTGTTGAGGCGCAGTGCTGCTGTGTGGAGGCCGCGCGCTTCCTTCCTGCGCTCCGGTGGTTCGGTCCGGTGGCGCCGACGGCCGCGCTGCGGGCAGCGAGGGGCGAGCTGGCACCGCCGGGCCGCCATGCGGCGCCGCTGTAGCGCCCGGCGGGATGGGGTGGGGGCGAAGCGCGGCAGTGCGGGGCCGCGCCGCGAGGCCGCTGCCGTGCGGCCCTGCTGTCCTCTGCGGGAGCCGCGCCGCCATCCGCTCCGGTCAAGGTCACGGCAGCCCTCGAGGCCCGAGCTGAGCTCAGGCGGGCGTGGGTGGCGGCGCCGGGCCCTGCCGGGTAGCCGTGCGGGTGCCGGTGCCGGTTTGGTGGCGCGACTCGTCTCCGCTTTGCGGCGGGCGCAAGGCCTCGGGCTGGCGGTCCCGGCAGCGGCGCTCAGGGAGCCCCGGACGGAGCCTCCGTGCCCGATCTGTGGGCGGCAGTTGCGGGAGGCCTGCGCGGCACCGGGCCGTGCGGTGCTGTCGCAGAGCTCGGGAGCTGATTCCAAACCACGTCTGTAAGCCACGTCTGTTGGGCTCTGAGGTTCTTCCACAGTGTGGTTTCTTGCTCTTATTTCTGTTCTAAATCTTCTCGTTCACCAAGCAGAATAATTTTGCTGCGCCCTTCAAGTTTCTTATCGTGTCCAAAGCCCGTTTTTGGTATAGAAGCAGGAGGTGCTGCCTCCTGCCACACCTCACCACTCAGATATCGAGCATACGGCCATTGGGGGACGGTAATGCCTTGGGAGTAATAACTGAGCAATAGTGCGGAGCTGTGATAGGGCAAACTGCATGTTACGCTCAGTAGAGGGGATCTGGAATTCAGGCACTGTGGGCTCAGCACGGCCATGCCCTGCCCCTCGCATTCAGCATCTGTGTCTGCGCGTGCTAGCCGTTCCCCCGGCCCTTTGTCTCTCTCTTCTTGACGATAGTGCTGCTGTGGGGAAAAATAGAGGGAAAGAACAACAGGATATTGTCTGCTTCTGGCCCCTGTGCCAACAGTGACAAAATGTTGTTTTCTCTGCGTTTTCGGGATTCTGGTTGGCTTTTATTACTCACGGGTGCGCCCGAATGCGTGAAGATGTGTTTTTAAATTCTTGCAGTTACTGTGGAAACCTTGAGTCCGTGGGAGGAAGGTGGTGCCCCGTGTCTGCATGTGGACGTTCCTGCTCTGGAGGATGACCCTCTGACCCGTGCAGAGGAAAAGTGGAGCTCAGCTGTCAAGCACAACAGGAAGGCGTGTGGTGCTGCGGTTTGCTGGGATGACACCTGCAGAGCTGCCGCAGGCGTGGAAGTGAGCCACAGGCTGCATGGTAGTGCCGAGGGAGCTGCGCTGCTGCACAAATCTCCTGCCAAACCACAGTGCTGTTCTGGCTCCCATTCCCTTTTCTGACACCTGTAGTGAGTCTGAAGCACGCTGCAACACAGACTTCTGCAGCAAGTGCTGAAGTGAAGAGGGCATGGAGAAGCACTGAAAAAAGCCCTTTTAGCCATCAGGATTGCAGGCCAGGGACACAAGCTGCAACTGCGCCGGGGCCACCAAGCCAGGAGCTGGCTGCATACAGCACTTGAAGGAGGACAAGCAGGGCACAGGTATGCAGCGAGCATGGGGCTGACGGCAGGGCTATGCTGCAACTGCAGGGGGGCTGGGGACGTGCCCCCATCTGATTTGATGCTGATAAACTCTCAGTAAGCCTGATTTCAGAGTAGGTTATTGGTGTACAGACATGCTGTGTGATTTTTAAGAAGACTGTAGATTTGATGGCCTCCTTAACACGAAATAAACCCAAACAGTCTTTGACTAATGCAAAGTGTAGGCAACAGCTTTGATTTCTGCATGCTCCTGTGGGGCCGCGGTGCCTTTGCTGTGCTCACACAGCGGTGAAAATGGCCTGGGTGAGAGGAACAAGTAATTGATATATGGTAATTTAGCCAGAGAATGAGTTGTATTAAAACCATCCAGTATAAAATGGAAGCTTTGCATTCTGCAATAATGTATCATATAGGACACCTATAGCTACAAGGCAAATGTAACAAAAGCTCTGGAAGATAAAAGACAGAAATCTTAAAAATCTGCTTGAAGAGTGAAAAGTGAGGAGGTGAGGGAAGACTCCAGGGGTGATAGAAATAGAAGTGCTAATCACACCACTGGGACTGTACAAGAGATGCTTGTGAAGGGGGAGTTTGCACAATTTGTGGAGACTTCAGTGTTGACTGAGAATAGCTGCGTTTATGATGTTGCAAATTCTGTTAAGATGTAAGCCTTTTAAAAAACTTTTAAATAGATTAACCTGTTACTATCTTGCTTTAATAATCTGGAATATGAAAAGGTTGTTATGAAAGCCTCCTCCAGTGCCCTGATTTTTATTTGAAGCAGCTTATGAATCCCTAAACCTAGGAAGTTGGGTTTTATCGCAGCTTTAGGGTGCATACAGCCAGGGAGGTTTCCTGTTTGTGCCTCTGGCTTAGGACTGCTGTGTTAACAGTTCTGTGTTCTGGGAAGCTCTAGGCTTTGTCTCATTAGCAGGTTTGTTGCTGATATAAAGAGCTAAAAAGCTCTTTGTGTGTGTGTGTGTGGTCTAAGGGCTTTTTGGGGTTCTCTTTACTACAGAAGATGAAAGAAGACTTTCTTTTGCAACTGTTCATAAAGCTTAAGCATTCAATCTGTTGTCTCTTCAGGATATTATCTCTGGAAACACTAAAAGAGCTGAGCAGCTTTGGCAAGCTCTACCTGCACAGGGCCATCAACTGTTGAAGGGGACTTGATGTAATTCTTGCATTGCTGTAATTACACTTCTATCAAGAAACTGGAGTATATTCTACTGTCTGGGAATAAACATGCACCTCCCAGTGCTGATTTCTGATATGAACATACTGATCTTTAAACTGACCCCACTCTTCTGTACAGATATGTTTAAACCAATTATCTTACGCTCTTGTTTTAGTCTTGCTGAAATGTTTATGTCTCAATAACTCCTACAAAGCTTCTGCATTTTCATATAAATTAAACAGTAAACTTTTTCCAGGTGTATCTGTCAGGTACTGTGTGTGATCTTTACCTGTGGATCTACAGAAGCGATTCCTTCCTAAACTCACTTCAGAGAAATAATTTAATAACAAGACCTTACCACCTACTGAAAAGATACAATGACTGAGTTCCTGGTTTGTTTTAACTGGTGCAATGGTGAGCAGCCCCAGCCGGTAGGTAGATTCACAGCTGTCATCTCTTTTCTGATTTACTGATTCATAATTTTGTCTTTTGGTTATATGGAAAACGCTGTCATTGTCATGTTCTCTCGATTAAACGAGATAAGTAATGTAATTGCTAAAAATGGATGTGTTATACTGTGTTTGAACTGCATGTATTTTAGCCAGAAGCTTTGTCTATGTGACTGCTTGTAGTCTGAGCCCCTGCATGAAGGGGAGTGACTTTCCCAACCTTTTGCTGAATATCAAACAGCGGTAATAAAGGTGAGTTTGAGCCTCCCCTACTGTGAGCAGCCAAAAACTTCTGCTACATTGCCATAAGGAGTCATTTAAGGGGGACAGCACTGATTTTGTTGTTGTTTTTTAACTGGCTGCTTGTTTCTGCCTGAAAACTTCCTCATATTTTGTGAGTTAGAAACATGAGATATCTTCTTTCTCACAGAAGAGGCGTCAGCGATTGGACCGGAACATGATAGGAGAACCAATGAACTTTGTTCACAATGCACATGTGGGGATAAGAGAGATGAGTAGTGACTTTTCATCAGTAAGTGCGCATTCTTGGGTAAGCAGAGATCTCAGTTCAGCAGCCTGTAGAACTGGTAGATGCTAAAATGCTAGATAACAGTATGAGAGGAAAAAACAGCATTGTCCCTTGGTTTATACATGTTCAGCACTATGGGAGGATATGTTCAGCAAGAGAATCTGTATTCCCCTGTGTCATTGTGTCTGATAGGAGCCTGCTGGAATAATGATTCTGTGGAAGCACTTGGCAGGTCCAGATTTCACATCAGCAGCTAAAGCTGTGTAAGGATGTGAGAGTAGTTGAATTTGGGACAGTGAGACCTATTTCGTGCACTGACTTACAGTAATATTTGAAAGTTCTGGGTTTAGTTGCTTCTTCTCCCCATTACTGTTGGAACCCAGCACTGTAAACAAATGGCTCATCTGCCTCTTTATCATAGAATAATAGAATAGCCTGTGTTGAAAAGGACCATAGTGATCATCTAGGTTAGGCCTCCCTGCCACGGGCAGGGTCACCAACCACTAGACCAGGCTGCCCAGAGCAAAATTAATTAATTAAATTAATGCTTCTAAAAATTGCTCTGACAACCAGACTTTATAAGATGAATGTTTTAACTCTAGACCTTCTTTTTCTTTTTTCTTTTTTTCCTAGGCTGTATCAATTCAGGACCACATGAAGTCTAAAGGTGGCTACACAAATGGCACTTCTACAGCTGCTGAGTTATAGGAAATTGAAAGAAGGCTGACATCTGCTCTGTCTTACAAAAGTCTTCTGGACTGTGCTTTCAGATTCACTAAAACCTCTTTATCATGGAGTATAGCGAGTACTTAAGTTATAATAGGTCAGTGCCAGCTTTTGCATTCTTTGCACACTAGCTTCTGAAGGAGTTACTGGAAATTATCCTTAAAGTGTTCTGTGATGGCAATGCTTTAATAGCAACTGTAGTTTGTCTCTGTGGATGACTTCTTAGCTGTGTCCCAAAAACCTCAAAGTTGTCTTGTAGGAGGAGATAGGAAGGCAGTTTAAATTGTCTGGGGTTTTGGTTTGTTTTTCTCTTCAAGAAATGCAGAGATTGATTTTATTTGAAAGACAAGATGTTTGCACTTCTTATGTGGGATAAATTGAATTTCTAGATAGGATGCAGGCTAGGTAGCCTGCAATACAACTTCTGACCTAATTTTTGGGTGGTTTATAACCTGAGCCATAATTCTACTGAGCAGTAATTTGGGGTTGTTTTTTTTTGTTTCTTTGTTTTATTTCTCCAAGGCTTTTTATGGTGAAAAAACTCTAGTTTAGTCTGCAAAAACCAGTGAAACTTCTGCCTTCTGTGATAAAGCTTTTGTAAAAATGCAAGTTTTGCAGACCAACCCACTCAGGAAAACAAGTATTTCTCTCAGCTGCTCCCCTCCCATAGTGTAACTGATGGGTGTTGATGCAACAATGCTAATAACAGTATGCTCACAACTGCATGTTAATTTTGCACAACCCCTATTGAATTTTAAACAAAGCCTACTCTAAGATCACTTTCCATTATAACCTACCTATAGCAATAGCTTTATGGATCTTGAAGAGGTATCTCCAGATTCTGCCTTCTTAATTTCAACATTTTTCCCTCAGATGAAGTATTTCTTATACGTGGTTTTTACTTAAAGTATGGTTTAAGTGACAGAGACAAGAGAATATTAAATGGAAACTGCCTATTACAGACTTCCAGCACTTCATAAATGCAGATATGTAGACATACCCAAACTACAGTTTTTCACGTAGTTCTTATTAATCTTCCTTTTAAGTGATATGCTAAAACTACTGAAATAGAGCTAGATTTCTCTCTTATCCAGTCACTGACCACTGCTCTCTGACAAAATTATGAGTGAGTATTGGTGTAGAGACTGTGGAAATTTGCTTGCTCTCATAGGATTAACTAAGTACAACTGTTTAAATTTCTGCAAAATCCTCACCAGTAAAACCATAAGTTACTGGGACTCTTCCCTTCTTGCTCTAGGCATAAGATCAGTCATCAACCTTTTTCATTAAAAATAAAGTATTTGCCAGCTGGATTTTCTTGCAAGGGAGATTTTTAACCAGTATGGCTTATGATACTTCTTAAATCTGAATGCTTGGCTTTGCTGAAGTTCTGCTCTGCAAAGCATGTAATACAGTGTATTAGGGAAGTCAGAACATGAAAGGTAGTTCTGTGTTTCTGTGTGTGTTCCCAAAAGAAACTTTTTCCCCATGCTTCCTTCCCATATTTCATCTTCAAGGACTAAAGAGGAAGAGAATGATACTTTCCTTAATAGTCAACAGCTGATGGTCACATTTAACCACATCAAAAAGAATTTTAATGTCCATGTCTTGCTACATCCTTACTTTTGAACTAGAATACATGTGATATTTTAATACTATTTAAAATCACCTTGTTAACCATAAATGTTAACACTTTTTAAACACTTTCATATTTCTGACTTCTATCCTCAGACTTATTCCAACAGCCTAGTTAGGATGCAGAGTTCAAAGAAGCAAAATTCTATATACTGTTGAGAAAGCATAAAGTGGTCAAGTTATTTTTTAAAATAAATTCTAACTGATCTGCTATTACATTGAATTTGTGTATTCATTAGTCTGTACTTATACAGAAAGAGCAGGGAGAGGAGAGGTGTGATGAAGAAAATGGGTTATATGTTCTTAATGCTGGAGGATAACAAGCCAGAGGAGAATTAGTACTTCCTGAAGACCCATTCTGTATATTTTTAAGATAAAGGTGCAGTGTATGCATGACTAGAAGTAAAGAGGTTGGGGATCATGTCAGTTCTCATGGCTGAAAATACATGGACAGGTAATCTTGTTATTACACTTACCTGTAGGAAAATTCCAGTCTTCATTCTATAAACCAAGCAGTGCTATCTGGTACAAAACTCATCTTCATCACACCGTACAATATTAACAAGGGCCATATACAAGTAAACTCAGTAGGCCTGTTATTAAAGGAAATGTTTTGCTATTGCATTAAAGGTGCCATTATTTTTTAAATGTAAACAAACATGAAAGCATGTCTCAGGCATTTTCTTTGTTGTATAATTAGAAGCATATTTAGCTGTAGTCTCTCATGTAACACAGGCCAAACTAGGTCACAATAAATCTGTTGAAAGAGGCACTGCACTCCTTTCATACTGTGAATTTCTTGGTATTTTTCTCCGCACTGAAGATCTGTTGGTCAGGTGGATGAATCAGCATGGCTTGCAACTTTACTGCACAGAATCACATTTCTCCACTAGAGAGCACAATTTGCCATCGAGTCTGTTCTGTCTCTGCTCTGTGCAAGTTGTTACACCAGCGTGGAGGGTTTTTGTTGTTGTTTATTTTAGTTCAGCCAAGTTAAAATGAAAAAGAAAAAGGAGTGACTGACACCAAGGGATCAAACTTGTTGATCTGTCTTGTAGGCTGTGATTAAGTTACACCAGTAGTGCAAAGTGGCATTGAAAGGTTGCTCTGTGACTTGATGGCATTTTTATCATTTCTTTTTCATACTCAGAAATAAAATAACATGTGAGAGGAGCAGGATTAAATCATTCACAGGGAGTCTGTCAGAGTCTCAGTGCTGTATCTGCCTTCTTTAAAAAAAAAAAACAAAAAACAAAAAAACAAAGAGGAGGAGAGGAGCTGTGATTTCAGATACTGTCTGTCCATTTTGTGACGTCCCTGCTGGGCTTTACCAACAATTCCATGCTGTTGACTAAGCTTGCAGTAAGTTTGCAGTCAATTTTTAGAAAAGGTGTTTTGCTTTTCCATGACCTAATGTGTCCTTTTATCTCTTGCTGTGGCCTTATAAAAATTGTGTGGCATTACTCTACATTCCAGTTATCCTATAATATGGTAACTTGCTACCCATGCAGTAGGGCTATTGCTTTGTATGGTTTTGCATATTGGACTGCCAGGTGGTTTTGTAGATTCCAGTATGCACAGACAAGAATAGCTTGCTGTGCCAGCAAAAATAAGCAAAATTTGACAATAAATTCCATGGAGGCATGGTTGTGAAATTTATTGCGTGTTACTAAGTACAGTAACATTACAAGAAATTACATCTGCCACTTGAAGATGGCGTGGCTGCTTGATTGTCTTTGGATGTACTTTGTTATCAGCACTGTGACACTGCTGTAAAAAAAGATAAGAGTGCTTTGTCTGCCTCTTATAACTGCTGTGGAGAGATGAACAGGGGGAAAAAACAGGGTTGTGTAACAGGTGTGTCAATGATGTCCTCTGGTGAGTGGGCTCCTGCAAGGCTTTCAGATGCTTTGTGGTTCTTAAAGCACTACGTTATAAAATCATTCAGGTACAGTTAGGCATATGATTAGTAATATGAGGTAGAAGCTAGATCTTCCTTCCTAGTGTTTCTTTGTGTTTTCTTTTTTCAAGAGAGCAAACTCTTCAGAGAGGCTGGTTAAAAGGAATGCTGCCTATACACTGACTTGCACAGTTAACTAGATTGTGCTTCTAGTTTGAGTCGTGATGGTTGGCTTTCAGTTCTAAGATTCGTAAGACAGATAGGGAAGAGTTAACATCAAAGGTGTGGAGTCCAGAAATAAAAATTGGTTCTGTACGCTGCAGATTGGCGGCAAGGCAGAAAATGAAGACAAACCATAAGTAGAACCATGTTTTTAGAAAAGCAAGGCTGCTTGGAATAAATCGCTTACAATACACGTATTTTTAAAAAGGGGAGGCTTTGCATTTTAACTCCTTGCAGTTGTTGTACCACTCTTACTATGTATCTTTTTGTGTTAATATACGGGCTAGCTCAGTAGATTTTAGACCCAGCGTGGCATTTAATGATTGAAATTCACAATTTTAGATGCTTCTGTCTATACCCAAAGTCCCTGCGCACCTAAGGAGGTGCTCTGCATCTACAGGCAAACTACACAGTAGTGGCTTGTAAGACCAAGCACAGCCTGGTGCATAAGGCCCAGGCTGCTTCTATCAGTGGTTTCCCTGTTTCACACTCATGTGATTACAGTGTGTATATATAAGAAGTGTCTCAGTACCATGCAGAATGTGATCTCTCTAGGAACTGGCCTGTTGGAGAGTTGTTTCTTCAACAGAGCCTTAAGGTATGGATTTATCATAGCATGCAGCTCTGAGGCAATGTTGTGTTTTTTGCTACATGAAAAAATGAAGTCTCTTTGTTTATTGCTTAGTTCCTTTTATCCTAGAGAAGGAAGTGGGAGAGGCAAATACAGGAACCACTGAAAAAATGAGTTAGACAAGGGAAGCAGATTTAGAAGCCATGGAGAAATGCTATGGTATACATATATGAGGAATGAGCAGAGAGCAGAACATGTGCAAGTTAATGTTCGTTTCGTATCACGCGCAGTCCAGCTTTCTTAATATCAACGTGGAAAATTGGTAAGGTGTGTACAATTAGTATATGGAGGAAATTGGGCACTTATATGCATGACTAAGCTGGGACTTTATACTCTCCGCTTGCACTGTTTCATGTGATGCTGACTGCCAGTGCCACGTCAGTGGATGCTGGTATGCCCTTTCTGCAGTGTCTTCAGTCATATGAAGAACCCCCAGATGCTAGCTGTGTGTTCAGCAGTTGCTGACTGATGGCATGTATGAGTTTGGAAGACAAGGCAACATTTTTTTTATGACAAATGTGAGGTTGCAGCTGTTGTAACAGCTGAGGGAGAATGCTGAGGCCTGATGCACTCACCACAGCCTCCATGAACACCAAGCGAAGAAAACTTAGAGTTAAAATAATGGTGCTAAAGTGTATTTGACTTCAGTTCACAGTGCTGCCAAAACCTCGGGGAAATTAACTGGATCAATCTGGTGCTCACTCTGGAAGAGTGTGGACAGGTTGGAGCTGAAAGATGATGGAGATTTCCTCCGGTCTGAGGGGGTCTGAGTGATTTTCCACTCAGTGCGGGCCAAGATACCAGGAGGTAATCTACAACAGCTTTCCAGCCAGACCTTTGCTCTTGATGCTGTGCAAAGAAAGGAAGCATGAAAGAAACCCGCGAGAGCACTTCTGAGTAGGGAGGGGCATTACCACCGTGTGTGTGTGCCAAAAGAGCGCGCAGCATGAGGTGCTTGACCCTGAACAGGACTGCTGTCTTCTCCTGGGTGCTTCCAGCTGAGCAAAATCATGTTATAATTAAGAATTGTGGCCTTTCAGGTAGTCTGGGGTGCGCTGGTACTCTTAGGGCTCTATATCACCTCAACTCAATGCTAACGAACTTGTTAAGCATTGCAGTATGGCTACTGAACATTTTGTTCTGTTTTTGTACACCCTGTAACATGACCAAAATCCTGAAATGTTATCCAGAAATGTTCAAATGGGAAGAAGTTTTCTTAATCTAGTGTTAATGTGGTTAAGATGGGTGAGATGGGCAAGAACACCAATTCTCAGCTCCAGGTCATCATCTGAATTGTGAATTCAGGGCCACAAAGCAGACAAACTTTTCTGAATTTTATTAAATCAATGTAAGTGGGAAGATTCTCATGGTACCAGTTTTTTATGTTTCCTCAGATACTTCCATATAAATCCAACCTGGACAAAACCAAGGTTATTGTTACCAGATGTCCACCTTTATTCAGGAAAAAGAAATTCAAGATGAATGATGTCTTTTATTGTTAATTTTCTCAGATTTTGGAAAATTCAGATGGCATAATATTGGATAGAATATTTAATTGCATATATAATACGTGGTTAAATGTGTATGTAGATAGATCTTACATCTTAAGTAATGTGGAAGAAAATAATCCATTCTTTTAAACTGGATCTAGTGGCTTACTGAAGGTTAAGAACTGAACTCAAGACTACATTTACACTTTTTGGGTATGCTGATAGAGCTGACATTGGCCCGTACAAGTAGACGACTAATTTTAGATACTTCATCAAATAATTAGAAAAAGTGTTAGATTATAGGATTTTTTGTCACAGTATTTATATACATCTGATCTTGCTGGTCCTTAAGAAAGATGTGGACCTTTCCCGTAATTTGCTTGTGCAGAGACTGAAGGTGAATGGAGACAAAACAGATGATGAGTAATTAACCTCATCATAGTGAGCTGTCTGAAACAAAGGATTTGTACATCACTCAAAACAATCCCATTTTTTGTATGTATAAACCCATTAAAAATAATATCTGTAAGGTTGTCGAGTCGAGTGCTGAAGCTGCAAATTAATAGTGAAAGTAATATGCTTTTAAATGCATATTTATGCAAAAGTTATCCATGTTTACTCTCATAGTCTCTGCCATCAGGGAATATTAAAACCTGACTCAGTACCTTTGAGAGTATGACACAAACTTGAAAATGTAATTCAGAAGTAAGGCTTATAGTGCTACCTTAATGCATTCTAAGGTGACCTTGCTGCATAATGGCATGTGAGGAAGGCTTTCCCTAGTTTCTCTTCACTTCTTTAAACATTACCTTTGAAAACCCCATTTGAATTGACTGTTCTCTCTGCTGTATAATGTCCAGCAAACTCAGGCATCTCTTGATTGTGTACATTAACATTAATTGATGCTCAGATAAGGCTGTTAGTACATGGGGAGAAGTTGATAGATGTGTGTTTGAATGAATAAATACTC